ATAAAAATAAATTGAAAATTAAATAATATTTAAAATTCGATAAAATTAATTCTTAAATCATAAAAGCTTGACGTATGCTGATAACAGAGGACACAATTTATTTTTATATTATTTATAAAAAAATTCACAAATATCATCAAATAAATACTATAAATTAATTAATTTTAAATTAGATTTTATTTATGAATAAAAAATATTATGAAGGAATATATTAAAAATGAAAAATATTGAATTATAAGTATTGACGAGGCTCATGAACGCATAATTCTTGCGTTAATTGTCAAGCGATCATTGAATACAAATTATACTACTATGTAAATATAAAATTTAAATTAAGTAAATTCATAAGAATTTATAATTAAATTTGTATGTATTTAATTTATTTATAATGTATTCTGTTATTGAACCTGCCTTCTAGACATATTGCTTTTGAGCTTTTGTCCCTTCTTTGAATGAAAATGATGTAGAAACGATAAAATAAAGAGGAAAGTGATAAAATACAACAATAAATTAGAGAATTTTAGCTCGTTCTTTAATTAAAAGTCATATAATTGAAGGTTATGGTAGAAAACAGTTTTATTAAGATAATTATATTTAAAAATAAAAATGTAAAAATTGTTACAAATAAAATTGTATAATAGAATAATAAATTACAAAATGCTATGGAAATGCAACTTATGTGATCTGGGTTGCAACAAAGTTGTCTAAATTATTTTTCCATAATACTTAATATATAAATGTATACATAGATATTGAATATAAATATATATAATTAGAAATATCTATAATTTTGCATATAATAATTCCTAGTTGAAGTTTCGTCAGATATACTATTGAGTTCAATTCACGAATCCAATTAAAAAATATAAGGAAAAATAAAAATCTCAATATCTGTAGTTTAACTTATAATTAAGTTAATTAATTAAAATTCGGATATAAAATTTATTTTTACGTGAAACAATATTATTAGTTGAAGTAACATTATTTTATATTAAATTAAAATTAAATATTATAAATTTAAAGTTATTATTTTATTAATTTAATTATAATTAAGATCGGAATTAGAATCAAAATGCAAATTGTACTTATATGAATGATATAGGAGAACATGTTTGATTATGTACCTTGTGTCTAAGATACCTATAAATAAAGATTAGAAAATTTTTTAAAACCCAAAATTTAAAAATATCGGAGCTTAATTATACTTCATTTTATAATTTGCATAAGTATGATCAATAAACAAACTTAATATTAAATAATTACCTAATTACACTAAATTAATAAACAATAATAATACCTCTTGAACATTTAACTCTTAATATTGATACAAACAAAAGTATCAATAAGTTGACTGATTATGTTGATATAAATACTTTTCATTATAATTTTTTAAACAATTAAAATATTTTTCATACTAACAAAGCAAATTCAATCAGCAATTTATTTTAAAGAAAGTAAATAATAATAAATTGATAAATAAATAATATGAACATGCTAATTCCAAATTCGTATATAGAGAAAATCTACATGGTTATCAAAACATAAATTAAAAAAACATGACTAATAATTTAATAGATTTAACATAAAAGAGTTTGAAATTGCTGTTAGGATATTTTTTAGATAATATTAAATAACAAATATTTATTTACCTAATTATTTTTATTTTATAAAATTTCATTTCAACAATGATATGCTATCAGCTTAAGAGAGACTTGTCATGTTAAAAGGATTAAATATTGGTTAAATGTAAAAGCAACATAATTATATTCATTATAAATTAAAAATATTCTAATAACTTTGTTAACAAATAATCAAAAAATAATGTGTATATTATATTTTGCCAGTTCAATTGAACAACCTGAATCGCAATTTAATTTTAAATACAACTTATTTAATTTTAGAATTTTATTATTATATTGTTATAGTTATTATGTTATAAAATTATTGTTATAATAATTATAATTTATTCGTCATATAGAATGTCAATTGTAAAATAAAATACCTAAGTTTATTCAAAATACTACCAGATTAAAAACAGATACTGTGGACGACACTAACTACACATCACTTATTTTAACAATAATGACAAGCTCTTTAAAATAAACATAAACATAAAATAATTATTCAAAATAATTTTTTATTAAATTTAATGATGATGATCTGCCTTAACAAATTCTGCACCTGCACACGTTAATTAAGCTTATAGATGCATAAAAATACATAGAAAATAATACAGATATAATCATTACTGCAAAAAAGTTATACATAAATTTTCCTTTGTTTGTACATCCTTTGTGTTCACTTCGTTTGCTTTGACATACGAAATCTAATACAAAAAATTTTTAAGAAATTAAAATATTATTTAAATTAACTATATTTCAACAGAATCGCATTGAATCCTCAATAATTCATTATCTTAATGAATTGAGACATTAAATATTTTGAAACGAAAATATAAATATTTAAACAAAGATATAACTTAATAAATATTTAAATATATAAGACTTAAAAAATATTATGTATCATGTTCTTAATTATTTAAAAATTATTATTATTATTGAATATTTATATAATGGTTATGATTATGTAATAAAAATAGAATTTAATAAAAATATAGAACGCAAAAAAATTATACCATGAGTAATAACCGCGATTATACCATAAGTAAAAACAATTAATGTGGAGTTCGTCATAAAAAATTAAAAGTACTAATAAATTCTTAAACTTACAATTTAAAACTTAACTTTTAAAAGCATCGAGAATGTTAATTTAATTACCAAATTTGGGTTAAACCTAATTCCCTATCCCTCATAATTCCCTATCCCTCAAACCATTTATCGTATTTAACGTCATCAAAAAATTACCACATTTTATTAGCTAATAGAGATACTAACTTTAAGTCAAAGGGTGGTGGTGTAGCTATATTGATCAAACATGGTATCCCATTTAAACAAATAGAACTTACAAAAATACTTGGTATTGATGTTTTAGCAATCGATATTATTACACCATTACATAAAAACTCTATTAGAATTGTTTTAGTATACAGACCCCCCAATATCAAAGATTTAATAACTAGAAAGCTAATTAACACTTTACAAACAATTTCCCATGGTAATGTAATAATCATAGGAGATTTTAATTTTAATTCAAACATCATTGATTGGAAATCCATTACCGCTAGTAACCAAATGGGAAAAGAATTTCTAGAATTTTTAAGTAATTTCAATTATTCCAATAATATTTTCACTTCTACACACTGCAAGGGTAGTACCTTAGATCTTATTTTAACTAATAATTCTTCATGCTTTGAAACTTCTGTTATAGAAGGACTTTCTACATCTGATCATTTCTCTATTAAATTTTTCATCGAAGCTCTCCCTCCACCACACCAAATAATCAAATATAGGGATCTCTCTAATATAAATTTATTAAATACCCACCTAATAAGAAACTTTGATAAAATCTATGAAAACTTTTTTATTTCTGATAAATATTCATTTTTTGCTAAAACTATTAATGAATTATTGGAAATTTATGCTCCTATTCGTAACACTAATGTTAAACCTTTTAAGCCTAAATATCCACAATATATTAAAAAATTAATAAAAGACAAAGAACGAATATTTAAAGCTTATAAAAAAGACAATTCTATAGACTTAAACCAATACAAGAATTTGACTAAAACTATTAAGCATCTTATAAATAATTATCAGTCACAACGTATAAAAAATTTAGTTTCTAATCAAAATAACCTGTTTAAATTTTTAAATAAATTTAACTGTAAAAAATCTCAACTATCTTGTATTGAATTAAATGACAAATTTATATTTGAAGATAAAGCTAAAGCTGATGCATTCGCTTCTGTTTTTTCAAAGTCTTTTTCAAATATTCCAACTTTCGTTTGTCCTAAGCTAACAAATTACAATATTAATTCATTCTTGGATGACATTGAATTTAGCATATTAGACATTGATAACATTCTAAAATCTCTACCAAATAACAATTGTGCTTCAGATGATAATTTAAGCTATAATATCCTAAAATCATGTCGTGCTGTTATATCTCCTTTTCTATCAGATCTTTTTAGAGAATCACTGGACTCAGGTAACATTCCAGATCTATGGAAAGTTTCTCATATTACTCCTATTTTTAAAAAAGGTTCAAAAACTGACCCGTCTAACTATAGACCAATAGCTATAACCTCTGCCATAAGTAGAGTCATGGAACGATTAATACTTAATCACATTATTGAACATCTTAATGTTAACAATATTATTGCTGATAGTCAATTTGGATTCATGAAAAAACGCTCGACCACCCTTCAAATGCTGTCTAACTTCAATTCCTGGTATGATGCAATCTTGAACAATAAAATAATCGATTGTATTTTCATTGATATAAAAAGTGCATTTGACTCAGTCCCCATAAAATTTTTTATTAATAAGTTACATACCATCGGTATAAGAGGTAAAGTACTAAATTGGATTTCTAATTTTTTAAATCACCGTACAGCCAAAATTAAAATTAACAATCAATTTTCGGAAAATATTCAATTATACTCCGGTGTGCCTCAAGGCACAATCTTAGCTCCAGTTCTCTTTATTATATACATCAATGACTTATCAAGCTCTATTCCTACGTCTATCAATAGCTCACTTTTTGCAGATGATCTTAAGATTTATCAATGTCGTAATAAAAATGATTCATCTAATCTTCAATCAAGTTTAGATAAAATTTCTAAATGGTGTTCTGATAATGCTCTAGAAATTTCTTTTAACAAAACTCTAGTTTTACATATTGGTACTAATAATCCTAAACATAACTACTATTTCAATGGTCTACCATTGCAATGTGTTTCTACAATCTCAGATCTAGGAATTGATTATACAGATACTTTATCTTTTGAACCTTATTATAAAAAAATTGTAAAAAATGCCTATTTTAGGGGTATGTCAATTATTAATAATCTTCACACGTCTAATCCCAAAATTTGGGGTATGGCATTTAAAACATATATTAGGCCAATATTGGAATATTCTTCGGTTATATGGAATCCCAAAACTAAAAAACATAGAGAAAAATTAGAAAAGGTGCAAAAATGGTATACAAGGGTGGCTCTTTTTAAGTGTAAGATCTATAAGAAAAACTATATCCAAAGATTAAAATTATTTAATCTCGAATCACTGGCCCTCAGAAGAGTTTTATTCGATTTATCAACTATTTTTAAGATCATTAAAAATCACACCCACTTTACTTCTTCACAATTCTTTATGTTATCTGATAGACCTAATAGGAATAGACATAATTATCAAATAAAAGTAGCTCGTAAAACCTCCAAAACTGAACACTGGATCTTTAACAGATCCATTAATCTCTGGAATGCCCTACCTATAGAGATTGTTAACATTGATAACTATAAGCTATTTTGGAACAGCCTTAGATCATACCTTATAGAACTAGAAAGTACCAATGATAGCCTTCTATATTATCGCTATTGATATTAAAAATCAAAACTAACCTTACCCCCTACCTACTCCCCCCACCTACCCTCTCCCTCCACCTACCCACTCCCTCCACCTACCCACTCCCCCCACCTACCCACTCCCTCCACCTACCCACTCCCTCCACCTACCCTCTCCCTCCACCTACCCTCTCCCCCCTCTTCGCTCCCATCTAGCTTTTATACTTCATATCTTCTTATATTCCAATAATAGCCATCTTTACTATCGATATTAATATTTCTCCATACAATAACCCAGTTCAGATAATAATACTTTTCTCAGGCTTTAAAACGGCTGTTTATTGCTTTGTGGCGTTTTGTTTACCCAATACTCAAATGTCCCAATCGATATATATATATATAATTTACTTTTTATTTTTTCGTTGCCGTGACCTTATTATTTTTTATTTTTACTTAAATTTTAATTGATTTTTAATTTTAAGATTTATTAGTTAAGAATCAAATTTATTTCTTAAATTTTTATTTAAAAACCATGGTCAATGTTCAAATTACTTTCAAAGCACATAAAAATAAAAGAACTGCTTTTTAATCAAATATTAATTTATTACATGTCCATGGTTTTTAAACTTCCATTTTTTATTATTGACTCAATATATTTTGTTTCCTAGACATTATATTTATTTTTTAAATTAATTGATTTATTTTTAAATTTTAAGATTTATTATTTGAGAATCAAATTTATTTCTTAAATTTTTATTCAAAAACCATGGTCAATGTTCCTATTTCTTCCAAAACACCCAAAAAAATATAAGAATTGCTTCTTAAGCAAATATAATTTTTACATGTCCATGGTTTTTAAATTTTAAATTTTGTTTTTACTTATTGACTTCAATATTAATTGTTTCTGATTTAAGAGGCTCCTTTGTGAGTCCTTTCGGATAAAGTTTATACATTTAAAAAATATTAAATAATTACCTAATTACACTAAATTAATAAACAATAATAATACCTCTTGAACATTTAACTCTTAATATTGATACAAACAAAAGTATCAATAAGTTGACTGATTATGTTGATATAAATACTTTTCATTATAATTTTTTAAACAATTAAAATATTTTTCATACTAACAAAGCAAATTCAATCAGCAATTTATTTTAAAGAAAGTAAATAATAATAAATTGATAAATAAATAATATGAACATGCTAATTCCAAATTCGTATATAGAGAAAATCTACATGGTTATCAAAACATAAATTAAAAAAACATGACTAATAATTTAATAGATTTAACATAAAAGAGTTTGAAATTGCTGTTAGGATATTTTTTAGATAATATTAAATAACAAATATTTATTTACCTAATTATTTTTATTTTATAAAATTTCATTTCAACAATGATATGCTATCAGCTTAAGAGAGACTTGTCATGTTAAAAGGATTAAATATTGGTTAAATGTAAAAGCAACATAATTATATTCATTATAAATTAAAAATATTCTAATAACTTTGTTAACAAATAATCAAAAAATAATGTGTATATTATATTTTGCCAGTTCAATTGAACAACCTGAATCGCAATTTAATTTTAAATACAACTTATTTAATTTTAGAATTTTATTATTATATTGTTATAGTTATTATGTTATAAAATTATTGTTATAATAATTATAATTTATTCGTCATATAGAATGTCAATTGTAAAATAAAATACCTAAGTTTATTCAAAATACTACCAGATTAAAAACAGATACTGTGGACGACACTAACTACACATCACTTATTTTAACAATAATGACAAGCTCTTTAAAATAAACATAAACATAAAATAATTATTCAAAATAATTTTTTATTAAATTTAATGATGATGATCTGCCTTAACAAATTCTGCACCTGCACACGTTAATTAAGCTTATAGATGCATAAAAATACATAGAAAATAATACAGATATAATCATTACTGCAAAAAAGTTATACATAAATTTTCCTTTGTTTGTACATCCTTTGTGTTCACTTCGTTTGCTTTGACATACGAAATCTAATACAAAAAATTTTTAAGAAATTAAAATATTATTTAAATTAACTATATTTCAACAGAATCGCATTGAATCCTCAATAATTCATTATCTTAATGAATTGAGACATTAAATATTTTGAAACGAAAATATAAATATTTAAACAAAGATATAACTTAATAAATATTTAAATATATAAGACTTAAAAAATATTATGTATCATGTTCTTAATTATTTAAAAATTATTATTATTATTGAATATTTATATAATGGTTATGATTATGTAATAAAAATAGAATTTAATAAAAATATAGAACGCAAAAAAATTATACCATGAGTAATAACCGCGATTATACCATAAGTAAAAACAATTAATGTGGAGTTCGTCATAAAAAATTAAAAGTACTAATAAATTCTTAAACTTACAATTTAAAACTTAACTTTTAAAAGCATCGAGAATGTTAATTTAATTACCAAATTTGGGTTAAACCTAATTCCCTATCCCTCATAATTTTAATCAGTATGACAAACTGATAAGAACATCTTTTAAAAAAGGTTTACATATGTAGATTTATCTTCTTTTGGTAAGACATAGATGAAGTTAATGAGACTGAAAGTAATAATAAAATAATTAATAAAAAATACTTAAATTTATAAATTCATTCTACATATTGAAAATATTTTTATTTACACTTGTTAAAATAATAAATAAAAATATGCATAATTTATTAATTTAAATTCATTAAATTCCCAATTTAATAAAATGATAAAAGTTTTCTTATTTTTCTTAATGATAAAAGTTTTCTTACCAATATCTTTATCGTTGTTAAAGTAATAGATGACTAGTGCAATTAAAATTTATCCATCTTATTGGATAATATTAAACATAAGATAATTATTCAAAAAAACTTTTTTATTAAATTATTTACTTCTAAATTTCTTTGAGGATGATTCGCAAACCTGCATTCTTTTCATAGATACACAAAAATATATAGAAAATAATTAACAGATATAATCATTAATACAAAAAAATTATACATAAAAAGCTACTATACATCGAAAGTTGCTTTCGAATTAAATTCTAAATAGATTAAATAATGATATTAATTATTCGTATATAAGTTTGAATGATAAATGATTAAAAATTGATGTAAATATAAGATTGATAATAATTAAATTTATTTAAAAATCTAATTTATATGTTAATATATTTTTTGGTACACAAAATTATAAAGAAAGATAATTATTTATTATAATGAAATTTTAATTACGCATTGAGGAATTTCTGAAAGTGTTTTGCATAAAAATGATATAATTTGGAAACACTTAATGTTTACTATTTGACGATCACTTATGCGAATTTAATTCTAAATCAAGTAATAATATTCGTTATTCGTATATGAAGATAAATGGTTGAAAATTGAGATAAATGATTGAATATTGAAGTAACTATAAAATTGATATTAATTAAATTCATATAAAAATTCAATTAATATGATAAATATATTTTTTATAATATAGCTTTTGACGCCATGTATCGAGAATTTGTTATACTTCGATATAATTGATGATATTATAACATAATTGATAATCTACATACATATATAAATATACTTACTCTTGCCTAAATAAAATATAAAATTTAACCAAAAAAATAGAAAGCTACTACATGAAAGTTTAAAATTGATAGAGATATATGATTAAAAAGTGTAATTGTATAGCTAATAATTAATAGAATAAAGAGATTTTTTATTATATCATTTGAAGATATTCATAAAATATTCGCTAGATAATGAAAATAACATCGAATGTTTAATTCAAATAAAATAGTTAAATAAAATAAAAAACAAAATTAAATTCTATACTGACTTAAAATTATTTAGCAAGCAATAGAGTAAAAGCACATGAAATTATAAAATCGTTCCAAATAATATTTTAAAGTTTAATAAATTTTTTTTATTTTAGAAGTAGTTTTAGTAGAAAAATTTACGGACGAGATGCAACTGCGTTTCTAACGTATTATTTATAATAATAAAGTAATCAGCGACATTAATATAATTATAAATATCAAATTTATTAAATTAATCTTTAATAAGATTAATAACAAAATTTTTAGAAAATGAATAATAATTTTTTTAATTTTTAAAAGTAAAAATTTAGAAAACTTTTAAGTATTTCAATTGAAATTTAAAAATTATTAACATTAATATTTAAAAAATAAAGTCGTACTGTTGCATTTTTATAATGTTAAGTTTGTAATTACTACAAAATTTTTATTTCAAAAATTTAATTTACAAAAAATACAAATTAGATTTTATTTAATTTATCAAAAATTTTCAGAGAATATTCTGTTATTTGAAATGAAATTGGTTGTTCGAAGATATGAGGACATCACAGTAATTTTTATTTTTAAAAATTATTAACTATACAAAGATTTGAATAAATTTACAAATAAAATAAAATAATAAAATCATAAATATATGACGTGTATGTATAATATAGATAATTAAAAATTCATAATTTTAAATAATTTAATAACTAGGTAATAATTATAATAATATTTATTCCTATTCCTATAAACGGATTATAAATGAATTTTTATAAAATAGTTATTCATAAAATGTATAATTTTTGAAAGTCTGATAAATTATTTTTTTTATTCTAGAAAATTTAATAAGCAAATTTTACAGATGTATAATAAGCACAATTTCAAAGTACAAGGGTCATCTTTGTTATCACATATTATTTAAAATATATCACATATTATTTAATTTTCACTTTTATTGCATTATTAAATTATATAAATTATTAAAAAATTTATTATATAATTTAATTTTATTCAAAACGACAAAAAATCTGACTACTATAATAAGAAATGTTTAAAATTATAATGATAAAATAGAATAATCCCCACAGCAAGAAAAGACAAGTATAAGTTATATAATCGACATTATCAATAATCGTCTTTTTTATGCCCTGAATATTGGTAATACATAATATCGTATCTTACAAATAAGAAACG